TTGAAAATTTAAAGGAAGAAATGTTAGGATATTTTTCTTGATATTTATCAGTTTGTGCAAGTTCTTTGGCTTTCTTTATTGCTATATTTCTGGTAATTGGAAGACCTTGTTCTCTACATTCCAAAATCCAATTTGCTAACTTATTTTCTAATTTCAAAAAAGATGCTTGTCTACCACTGTGTAATTTCAATAAATGAGATGCAGAGGCTTTAAGTTGGTCTTTTTTATTTTTTCAGTCACGAACTTGGTTTGGTTGTAAATCAAAATATCTTGCAGTAGCACAAACACTATTTGAATCATTTAAAAAATGCAAAACCATTAATTTTTCGCGGACTGACCAATTTCTCTTTTTTTTAAGAGTAAACTTAAAACGCTTGACACTTTTATTTGTTCTAACCATTTTTAATAGTATAATAGTGAAACACGATACAAAAAAGTGGAATGTGATACAAAAAATGGAACGCTAAAAAACTTTATATATTAATGATTTACATAACCTTTCAAGCCACCCTCCTTCTTACAAAATACCCTCCTGATCAAACTACCTGGGTATTTTGCAAATTTAAGGGTAGATTTGTAAAATACTGGGGTAGTTTAGTCAGCGCTCTACGGTATTTAAGCTTAGTTATTAAACTAATTTATAATTAATTGATCGATATAGTACAAACTAGGAACTAACTGAGCTAGAAAGAATTTCCCTTATTCGTTTCTTCAAAGTCACCTTAGGATGATTAGACTAACTAGACTAGAAGGAGAAAAAGGATGCATGTTTTGAATAATTTAATCAATTGTGATCTTTACTTAGCATTATATTTATATAATATAAGTAAAATATTATGTGACAGAGTATTTTTTACACGTCTTCTAAACACTAACTTGTTTTCAAATATTTAAGTATTCAACATGTCTTCTAAACCAAATTTTAAACTTTAGTTTTCCAAATAAATAACAACTATAAACTGTCAGATAACTTTATAGTAAAACTTGATCTATACTTTCTCTTCGAAGATAATTCCTTCTCTGACTGGAGTAGATGAAGGCTAAAACACGAATATATTATTATTCAAAGCCATAAGTAGGAACCTTTGATCAGAAACAATGATTTATTGTGATCACAGAATTTCACAGATAATTATAAAATTTGATTCAAGTTTTTGGTCTAATTTAGGATTTGCAATCATTAGAGGAAGGCCAGAAATTATGTCATTTTGATTTTAAGGATTTTGATTCCCTTTCCCCCTCTGTCATCATTTTTATTACTTTTAAATAAGGAAATCATATAGTAATGTTATCCTAGGTGAATCCCCTTTCCTCCCTTAGGAAATTACGTCATTTCTGACCCTTCCCTTATAATTCCGGTAAACACTAAATTGGCCAGAATTTACGAGTCGTAATGTTGGCCAACCTTGCTTAATTCCGGCCAAGTCACAAAATTTCACAGAATTTACTTTTATCACACACACCTGTGAGTTGATGAACTTGTCACGATCATATTATTCAAAGCGAAATTTACTGCGCCACATGACAAGTTCTTTAAAAAAAAAATTTAACCAGTGTTGTAATAATTAGCCAAATAAAACATGGGTGACTTTCTTTTAAAACCACCTGTTCCTGAAGATGTGGGTTCTGCGCGGTGTGCAATTTCAAGTGATATTATGAGAAAAAGGAACTTGTCAATTGGACAATGGGTTCGAATAGATTCTGTGTCGGAGGTGTGTAAATATTTGTTGTATTTACGATAATATTTATAATAATTTTATATAGTTACTTCAAAATTTAGTCATTGTATTGTCGTGCATGGCCAATTTCGGTACCAGCTGGAATAATCCAAGCTGATAATTTTATAAGTAAAAGAGTAAAAGCATCGAATCTGGATAAGCTATCATGTATGGAAATATACAAAGTTATTGATAATCCCCCCCTTTTTTTTGCTGAATTATATGAATTGCATATTAGGCTCATTAGTTCCCTTAAGAGTTAATCTTCAGGAAGCAAAAGAAGTTATAATTTCCATCAAACTTTATGATTTTGAGGATGGAGATCAAGAAAAAAGGCAATTATATGGATTAGGATTTTTGTGGAAGAACGGATCGAATTTTAATAGAGTTCAGGTAAATAATTTCATGAAATACATATAGAATTTAATTTTATTCGATTGATTCTAAACTTTAATTTAGACGATCAGAAACATATTAAATGGAATGGTAATATGTAAGGGGTGTGTTGTTTCTGATAAAAGACGTGGTTTGGAAATAATGGTATTGACAATTCCAATATTCTCATTCTTTAATGTTCGAAATGTCGTACTTACATTTGCTTTATGATTTTCATTGCGATGCTTTAGATTCTCGGGACATCTCCAAATAACGAATTATTCTTTACAAATAGAAGTCAAATCTCAATAGTTGAAAGTTTACAATACAAAGATGTCGATAATGAAATCGATCAAATATCGTCATCTTTAAAAAGTATTTCATTAGAAGGGTTTACCAATAATATTCCCGGACTTGAAGAAGCTTATGATGCACTTTTTGAAGTAGTTGTTTACCCGTTATTATATCCGGATATAATACAAAAGTTAAATATTGAATGTCCCAAAGGTTCGTATGAGGTTTCTCTCCATCAGAATTATATATATATATATTGCCTTTCAACAATATAATTCGTTCATGTTTCAAGGGGTGTTACTTCATGGACCACCCGGTGTCGGAAAAACATATCTTGTTAGCATAATCGCAAAGGCTTGTAACGCAAAAATGGTGTGTATTAAGCATAATTTAAAGATTCGTGTATGATATTATTAAGATATTTTACTCTTAAATAGATTTCTATAGACGGACCTGATGTATTTGGGACTTATGTTGGAGAAAGTGAAGCAAATTTGAGAAATAAGTTCTCTCAAGCCAAAAGGATGACAATTGAGGAAGATAATCCAATAATCCTTTTCATTGATGAATTGGTAATTCAAATAATCATTGATTTTTCACAATGAAAATTTTGTTAAAAATTTTTTTTCATATGTTAGGATGCTCTAACACCGCATCGGGTAGAATCGCAATCTCATGAATCTCGAGTGGTTGCTCAACTTCTAACATTAATGGATGGTATGGAATCACGTGGCAGGTTGGTTGTTATTGCGACAACCAATCGACCTAATGCTATTGATCCAGCTTTAAGAAGACCTGGACGGTACGAGAACTTTAAAATATGACCAAATCATAATATATATTATGTTCCGGTCGTCATACCTTTGCATTAATAGAATAATTTTATGTTAAAAATAATTAGATTTGATCGAGAAGTATCAATTGATATACCAAATGAAAAAGTCCGTCAAAGAATATTACAATTTAAAACGTCACAAATGACGCTTGGAAATGATGTTGATATTGGTAAGAACCTAATTAATATCATAAAATTATAAAGTGATTTAAAATAACTTCAAATTTACCATTAATAGGTTTGTTATCTTCTATGACTAATGGATATGTTGGTGCCGACTTGGCTTCGCTATGTCGTGAAGCTGCAATAAATGCGGTTCATCGTCAAATAAATTGTGCTTCCGATAATAATTTTGCAAAGCATGAAGGATAATACATTAATTTTTATGCTTAAATTGAAAGAGGCACGTATTTACAAAGTTAATTAATTTAGGTCTAATAACGATGTTATCATGGAAGATTTTATGGTAGCACTATCATGTGTCATGCCTTCGATTCAACGTGGATTTCAAGTTAATTTTGAAGAAACAAATTGGGATGATATTGGTGGATTAGATATGGTTAAAAAGGTCAGAGCTTTGGAGTTATATATGTATATTTCATATGCTGTATTTATTCATCCTTAAAGGCTCTCAAATTTTTGATCATTTAACTTACATAGAAATTAAAACAAGCAGTTGAATGGCCAATGAAATATCGGAATACATTTAAAAAGCTAGGATTAAGACCCCCTAGAGGAATTCTTTTGTATGGTCCACCTGGATGTAGTAAAACAACACTAGTCAAGGTTATAATTATTTGTTTTTTATTTTTGTCATTCTATTTGTATTTAATATTCTCATTATAATTTAGGTAATAGCCAGTGTTTCCGGAGCAACATTTTTATCTATTAATGGAGCTCAACTTTATTCTCCGTATGTTGGAGATTCCGAGAAAATAAGTAAATTTTTTATTTTATTATTTGCCTTAAATGTTAGACATTTAAATTTCTAGCAATTTTTCGACTTAAATTACTAGTTCGATCTATTTTTCAACGTGCACGTGCATCAAGTCCATCTGTTCTTTTTCTTGATGAAATTGATGCTATTGTTGGAAAAAGATCATTGGGTGAAAGAGGTGGCACTGGGAACGGAGATAGTGTTCAGGAACGCGTTTTGTCAATGCTACTAAATGAAATGGACGGCGTTGAAACTGCTACATCAATTCTTATAATGGTTAGTAACAAATAAATCAAATACCATAATTAAAAACAAATTACTTGATCTAAATCTTTTTTGATAAGGGTGCAACAAATCGACCAGATATGCTCGATGCTGCTCTTTTACGACCTGGAAGGTTCGATCGCCTTATATATGTAAGTGATCATAAAATCGTACATCTCTTTTTACTCTTTAATTAACGAGAGACTTATATAATTATAAGGTTCCACCTCCAGATTTTAAATCACGTAAACAAGTTTTAAAGATACATACCTCCAATATGCCATTGAATGAAGATGTAGACCTAGATTTTATTGCTAAACAGGTATTTATTTTCCATTCAACTTCTCACTTTATAAATTTTTATTTTTAGTTACGCGTATTAATATTTTTATACAGACTGAAATGTACACAGGCGCAGACATTAAAAATTTATGTAGAGAATCTGCAATGATAGCATTACGCGAAATGAAAACTACGTCAAATGTGGTAAAATTCTTTTAATAACAATATGATTTAATGTATTTATGTTTCATTAACATTTGGATAATAACTTATAATTAATATATATATATAGAACATGTCTGATTTTTTGAAAGCTTTGAAAATTGTAAAAGCTTCATTAACCGCCGATATATTAACCTATTATGAAAAATTAATGTGTTAATTGTATAAATTTGGGATGGTTTATTAAATTTTTACTTTTAATTTTTTTTTTTTTTTTTTTTTTTTTTTTTTTTTTATAAAATGCTAAAATTTTATAAAGATTATATATTTTTAAGGTTATATGAAATATATGTAATATATATAATAAACATAAATAATAAATATATATATATATAAATTAAGGTAAAATCGTATCAGAGTTCCAATCTTCAAATCAAGGTAAATAACAATTTAAATAGTCTAAGGAGCTCTTTCTTGATACAATAAAGAGCTTAATGCATTTTAATCTAATAACATCAAAAACTAAAATGCAATAAAAATTTCCTAGTAATCAACCCATTTTACGAAATTCATGAATAAATAATAAAAATAATATACACATATAATAATTAACAATTTCTCAATTCTGGTTCTAACCAAGGAATTCCTAAAATATTGAAAACATCTCTTTCAGAAGTTACATGGATGCGTTTTTTTGAAATAACATTTGAGAAAAGTCCATGTGATGCGAATGTCATTTTTTTCTCCTTCTTTGCATAATCTTTTAAGGATCGTTCAAACTGCCTCGACCCTAAAACATTAAACTACATTAATCTTGCATGAGCGTGACTAGAACAACAGACATTCCTCACCTGTCCAACCAAGAACCGCTGTTGGATATTGAGAATAAGGGGCTATTATAAGGTCTACTTGTCGACATATTTGTGAACTTGGTTGGATAAAAGCACAAAAGCACTAATATAATTTAATAAATAAGCGTGTTTTATATAAAATATTATTTTTTTGAAAGAAAAAAAAATTCTATCATTTGGATTCTACCTTATCAAGTTTATCCATGACATTTCTGTGAAAAGAAAAATGTACGTGTGAAATATTCTTTTTATTTTTTGCACTTAACTGTCCGTAAAAAAGTTTATGTTTCAAATATCCTAAATAAATAATCGATCAAATTAGAAATTTATAAAAGTTGTTAAATGAGTTACAAAATTATATAATACCTAAATCTATAAGCCTTTCTACTATATCATTTAACAAGTTATTCGCGACTTCCTCTTGAGGATGTGATATGACGACATCTAAATCTCCGTTGAATTCTTTCCCGCGACGATATCCCCCAACCGGAGTTATTATACAATCAGGATAAATAGACCTAACCTCTTTATCTAAAATATTTAGGATTTCTTGTATATCTTGTCTTGACATTCTAAAAATGATTTCAAGTTAATAATAATACATCATGAAATCTCGCAACAATAACAAAAAGATTTTAAAAAGATTTACTTTTTCTGAAAATCATCAAATAGTTCCAAACCTAATCTCTGAAGATGAGTTAAATGCGGATCACAATTGCATTCTCTCATTGACCTATAACCTTTTCGATACCATGACAAGGCTGTTTTATGACCAACGCCTTTAAAAATAAAAATATGATTATTATATACAAGAGAAGCGAGAAAACTATTTCAACATACCATAAACACTTGAAAAAAGATCCAAAGTTTGATATTTTTCGCTTGCCATAATTTCTTCGGCTTCGGTAATTGAACCTGTAATTCGATGTATTAATTTTTAAAGCAATGCGTAAATCAAAAAAATTTTTTATTTTATTTCGTTATTACCTGTTGATAAAAATTCTCTTATATAGTTACCAATTTTTGGTCCAATTCCTAATAATTTAAAATGAAAGAAAATTATTTCCATAACGTTCAATTAAATCAACGACACGGTATGATCTTTTTACCTATTATCTTCCGAGCTTCGTTGTAACTTCTAATATCGCATGGATAAACCTAAGTAAAACATGGTTAAAGAAACTTGATCATCATTTTTTAGACAAAGTTTAAGTACCTTTAAGGCTGAAATCGCGTGACGATATGCCAATGCACTCTTCCCTTCGCCATCCAATTCACGTGCATGTTCTATCACTTGGAGCAGTTCCACGAGAGATTGGTTGTGTACGGGCGTAAGTGGTGTAGGACGAAAGCATTCGTATTTAGTGTTTAAGAAACGAGGATGTAAATCGTCTACAACTAAATAAAAGAGGATGTAAATAATTTTTTTTACCCTAACGCATATATTCACTTGAATTCATTCAAATATATATAAAATATATATGTACTTTCTATATCCGAATTTTGTTCATCAGTAAAGCTTTGTCCCAAATCAGAAGAAGTCCTTGGAAAATGACTTGATTAAAACAAAATCAAAACATTTAAAAGAATTCGATGATTTCTTTCTCTTAATAAAATTACCTTTCATTGCTACTGCTTGATTCAGACTGACTAATATCAATCATTAGATCACCAAGTTCATCCTTTTGGAAAGATCGTGAAGTTTCGTGAGGCATTTCAGAATTCAAAGATATTAAATAACCATCATATGGTACTCTCTTTCCATTTTTTTGACTTGAGGGAAAATAAAGTCACACATTTATTTTTATTTTTATTTTTTTTTTTTTGACTATATCAATATTTCGAAAGAAGATATTTGCAAACCATTCTGCAACCCAGTCAATAGAACATATAGGTTTCCGAGTTTCTGGTACATATCGCGCTAATCGAATAGGAGTTTTTAAGATAGTCAATACAACATCGGCACATTCTATATTGTCTACAAGCTGTCCACCGTGGGTAATTATTTGATTGTTGCAAGTTTCTAGCCTGTCTTTTGGTATTTTGATATCAATGATGTAAAATTTCCAATTCTTAAAGAAGCGAGACATGTTTAGACGGGTGAATTATTAATTATTTTTTTTTAATTTTTCTTTTATTCATCGAAAAGACTTCTAAATGATTATTATAAATGTAGCATTTATTACATCATATTTCATAATTGACCGCACATAATCTCACATCCACATATCAACATTACACGCGTAACGACAAATTTCAAATTTCTAGTAATTTACCCAGAATTTGGATTTTAAAAAAATTTCCGATTTACATTTTTAGAAACGATCAAACTTAAAAATCATGTATGTTGGTTCAAGTTCTACCTTCTCAAACTTAAATATTATTTTAATGTACTTGATATGTTGGATTTTTTTAAATTTGTCAGATTTTCCTGCGAGATTGATCAGAGATTCGCAAGTGGCGTATTGCAGATTTGCAGAACGTAGATTATAATAACGCGTGAATAATAATGAAAAAAAGTTTCTTGTCATTAATGGATATTACTGGAATTCTGGACCGTTGTTCTTATACCTTTATGGCTTGATCACTCGATACAAATTTAATATATATATATTATGTAATATAAGATCTGGTAATTGTAAATAAATAAATAAAAAAAGAAATGTTTCTCATGTAATTTACTTTGGTGTTCAAAATTACTTGCAAACAGGTTTATAAAACCTTGTGGTATGGATTAATTAGGATTTTACACCGGTAAATTTCATTATCTGTAATTATACAAATTTAGTAAGTCTAATTCAACAAAGATATTTCCTAGTGCAAATCGAGATGAAGAGTTTTAACAATGCCATTTATTTCAGGTTTTTTTTTTTAACCCCAGATCTTGTGAAGTTGGGTAGTAACAATGGATCTATTCAAAAAAAAAAAAAAAAAAAAAAAAAAAAAAAAAAAGGAGCGACGCATTCACGCGTGAGGTAGCTTTTTTTATAAAAGCCGTCAAAAAAAAAAAAAAGTGAAAACTTAAATAAAAATTTTTTTTTACAGTTAAAGTTACACGACATTTTCCCGGCATTTTATTTATATAGTAAAAATGATTCGAAATTTACGAACGAACGACCTCCCCCTTTATTTAACCGGTCTGGTTTGTTCTTTGAACTTCTCTCGTGCATTCCTCGTGCTGTTTTCAAGCCGAATTTCCATTCTTGACTGGTTAAGTTTTCAAAAGAATTTTATACTTGTGGGTTAAGCAAATAACGCTTTATCCACAATAGCGACAAGTAGTTAAGAGGGTTGTCTCTTTGACGCATTAAACAATACTTTTGGTATCATAAACTTTCTTTCAGTTACCTGACGCGTAACTCTTTGAGTGTGTTGTCGGTACGTATTAACCTAAGGTTTTAATGAACTTTTCGTACGTTCGAAAAGCGTTTAATGAAAAGAGAATTGTCGTTCATGTCCTCAATATATTTGTTTAGGAACGCGAGAGACTTTTTTTGACCAAGTAAAGCATGTATCCCTCTTCTTACGAGAAATTTAAGAAAAACGTCGAGGTAACTTCACCTCTTAACTGGCAATTCAATGCTATTGAGGCTCCTCCTGGTACGTTCTTATATGAATTGTTATTATCATTTGTTAAATGAATTCTTCAATGTGAAGAAAAAAATTATTGATGAATGTCTGAACTCTATTCCTATAACAAAAGGAGTGATGCCTTCCCATTTATTGCCGTCGCCTCCTCAAACTTACCCACCACAAAGGCCAATTGCACCAACGTTCAACAATGGACATCAGATCAACCCTCCTCATTTTAAACCACAAAGTCAATCACATGAGAAATTCAAGAAAAATAATAAGCGCGGATTCATACGTCATAGAGATGAAGCAGTAAATAATCAATATGTATATACCCCAGACCAAAAGTTTATAAGCGAATTTGCAAACAATGGTTATTCGGCTTCACCATGTTATAATAACTCACCTGTCAATTCAAATCATCCTCATCATCAAATATGGCGCGCGCCAAGTCATAATAATTTGCCAAATTGGCCGATACCAAATTCAATGGTATGTATTCACATAAAAAAAAAATTTTTTTTTTCGCAAATAAAAGTAACCCTTCGAAATTTGAAAATTTTGAAAATTTTTGATCCTTGCATATTAGGAATATCTATATGCTCCGGAACATTTCGATAGGCAACATCGTCAATTATTTCCTCCCGGAACATTTTCACCTTTTCAGGCTCCACCAGAACCACATTCCTATCCAATTCGTCATTTTCCGCAACGATATCCTCCTCATTTAGCTCCTGATCCTCATATTTATCCTCGACAATCTAATAACTACCAATATTATGGTTCACAACGGCCAGTCATGCAACACTTTTATCAACATGGACCTCAACCCAGAGACTTCCATCGACCTATAATTTCACAATTTCTTACTTTTGCACCGGGTAATGATAATACAGATGTAAGTAATATTGAATTCTTTTTTGTTTATAAAACAGTTTTTTAACCGTATAAAAAATAATAAATAAGCAAAACATTTTTAATTGTTATTAAGCATGTCGATCATATATCAGCTAATGTTCAGCAAACTAAAAAGAATAAAAAAAACAATAAGAAATTTGTTGAAAATTCAATAAATCATGTTGTTAAACATCAAAATCTAATTGTACCTGAGTCATCATCCGAACTCACAAAGCAGATTAATTATGAATCCAAAAAGCGGATCCGACCTTCTGATGATATAAAGTCATCGATTATTCCTTTGTCTAATGATTCATTGACAAAGCCAATTCATGCTTATGGAAATGATGGTCGTAAACTCTTTACAAAGAAAAAAATTGTAAATAAAATTGAAATTAACTTAAAAGACAGAATCGGTCTGTTAAATTTCAAATCCTCTAAATTGTTTGTACCAGATGATGAAAGTCATGGTATAAAGAAGGTATTTATTCTAAATGTTTTTTTTTTTATTTTATGAGATTTAAAAACGGTTTGCTTGAGTTTAAACGTATTATTATAATTTGTTTTATTAGAAAATTAAATTGGACATGGAGATCAATTCGGTTCCAAGTGCACATGATGCAAACTCAGCAGATTATAATCAAAGTCAGAAGTCACATGATATCTCGGATACCCTTAGTTCTGATATAGGTAAAATTTCAGGGATTATTGATGAAGCAACAGATTCTAGTGAAAACTTAATTTATGATTCACTTTCTCCATGCGAGAATTCCACTCGACGGGATAGTGGAATCGCTTGTGATAATATGGAATTAGATGATGTGATCATCAAGGAAAAGGACATTAAAGATCCTCCAATAACTATTTCTAATGCTGCTTTAGAAAATTCAAATTATAATGCTAATCCAATTATTAATAATTCAGAGACTGTCAATAATGTAGTGGGGTCTAATTTGGTGTCATCAGATGATGTAATTGTTATAGAGTCAGGCATATCAGAGAAAATGGCAGAGTTAGAAGAGGAGCCTAAACTTACAAATATAAATAATAATGTACTTAATGTTAATGATGTTCAGGAAGATTCATTTGTTTCATCAAATTCAAATTTGGAAGTTTCATCAACACCGACTTTAAGTCTAGTTAATACGGACATAATTTCAAATTCGGATAATGGGAATTGTTTGATGCTTGTTGATAATGAAATTAATGAAATTCAGGGAGAAAAGGGTGGCGAAACAAATCAAGTGGTTACGGTTAAGGAAGCAGGAGACGACTTCAAAAAAAATCTTTCTATTGAAAATTTGTCAACCCTTAACGATAATGCTTTGAGTACTACCACTACTACTTCTAGCATTTCTGAAAGCTCTGACGACTCTTTTATAATTGTAGATGATTTACCAGAATATATAGATTCTAGTTTAAAATTTACCGATAATTCGAAATTAGATGTCGATTCAACGGCGGAATTAACCAATTCATTTTCAAAAATGGATTTCGGTTATATATGTAGTGATAAGCGATGCTGCACTAACTTAAAGCTGAAAACTGAAGAACCTACCTCACCCAAAATTCAAGTCACACATGAAGATAATGAAATTCCTCATCATTCGTCAAATGCATGTACCAACTCAACAATTAGTGGAAAAGATCGATTTGCTGGAGCTGTCTTCACACGCCAGGGCATAAAAGATCTTGCCTTTGTAAAGTTCGAAGGGTATTCTATCAATCAACGTGTTAAGGTTCTTAACGTTGATAGTATTTGGTATCCAGGCACGATCATTGCAATAGATAAAACTAAAGTTAGGGTGCGTTTTGATGGTTGGGATGCTAAATATGACGAATGGGTATCAAAGGATAGTCGAAGGTTGAGAGTAATGAGCGATGAAGAGATACTTGAAATACAGAATTCTTCACAAAACAATAATGTCGCGATTGTTAAAAAACGTTCTACATTCAATAAAATTGTTGAAAAACATGAGATTATCTCTGATACAGAAGATCCTCAAACAAATTTTTCGACGAAGTCAAAGCGAACAAGAAAGAGAACTGCTACAAAACAAACGATAAGTAATGAAGCAAAAAAAGTACAGTCTACCCCGACAAAGAAAATTGTTGATCAAAAGCAAAAGAAGAGTAATCCTCGATCGCAACCACCTACAATAATTCGTAAAAAGAAAAAGTGCAATTCTTGTGAAAGTTTATTTGATAAATTGGAGAAAGTGGGCGCACTTGAATTATGTACAAAGTGTGTGCCATTATTCGCACCTCAATTAACGAGAGTCAAAGCATTTGCGCATGCCTTCACATTAGATCAAAAAGTCCAAGTACTTAATATTGATAAGATTTGGTATCCTGCCAGGATTGTAAAGGTAGAAAAATCCAGAATTAAGGTTCACTTTGATGGTTGGGGAAAAAGATTTGATGAATGGATATCTGTAGAAAGTCGAAGATTGAAAGCCTTGTCAGAAAATGAAGAAAATAACTTACCTAACGATATAGATAATAAGCAAGAAAATCTTGATCAAAACCATAACCAATCAAAAGCTTCTACATCCAAAATTCCGCAAAAATCTATTAATCTAAATGATAAATCAAGGAAACCAAGGAAAGATTCCGCATGTTTTCACGATAGCGATAAAGAATATCAATCGAATATGTATAAGCTGAAAGAGATATTAGGTACAGACTCTGAATCTCTCAGTAGTGTACCAGACTCAGATTCTGATTCTCTAAGTAGTTGTCCTGAATCCATCTCGTCTTCGTCATCATCATCTCTTAGTGCGTCCGAATCAAATTATATAACTCTCAGTAGTTCTAGTGGGGAAGAAACTGAGATAAAACCATGTAAACCTCAAATTAAACGAACTGTACGAGACAGTAAGAAGGACACGATACGCAAGAAAAACCAATCATCCGAAGAGAAGATATGTGAATCATGTAAAATTATGCATATAAATGTACAAAGGATAGGCAGCCTTGACTTATGTACATATTGTAGGTCACTCTTTGGTGATGATGCTACGTTTCGTTTTAAACGTGGTGGTCAGTATGGTTTTGAACTTCAAAAGCGCGTTAAAGTTTTAAGTCGTGACGGCGAATGGTATCCGGCTATAATGGTAGATGTTGAGGACGGACGTATTCGGGTGCATTTTGATGGATGGAGCGATTATTTTGATGAATGGATCCCAGCAGGAAGCCAAAGAATGAGAGACATGACACTTGAAGAAATATTAGAAGCACAAAAGGCATTGGAACAGGTTGATAAAGAGACGCTTGAGCAGAGAGAAATGATGTATGTACCACAAAGAAGAAAGAGATCCAATTCAAAACGACCAATGCAACCACCTTCAACGATAACTCCTTCGAATGAAACATCAAAATCAACCGATTCGACAAAAGTAATTAATAATAAAGCAAGATGCGATTCAGATTTATTTTCTGAACAAAGTGACCTTTCAACAAATTCCATGATCGCATTTGATTGGAATGAATATTATTTTGGACGAGACACGCGTCGCAGTCTTCGTAATGACAAACTTCTAAGTAATTCTGATGTTCTTGCTAAGCTAAAATCACGGTTTAAACCAGGAAATCAAATTGAAGCACGAGATAGATTAAAGGAGTGGGTTCCTGCAACGATTATTGAAGCTAAAGGTTGTAGGGTATTAATACATTATGATGATGTTCCTGCCTTCTATGATGAATGGATAGATATAAGTAGCGAAAGACTTCGTGAAAAATGCACAAAAAATGAAATTACACAGAATATCAAACCTACCTCGACTTCTTTGGAAAGTAAAAAAGATTTAAAGAAAAAGAAAAGCAAAGCTGAGAATGATGACGATTATCGTTTGGAATTTGTTGTAAATGGCGCACTTAATGGAAGGTTAATTACAGGTTAGTAATTTGTATGATGAAAACTTCAACGTAATATTTTAACATGTTAAATAACATTTTATTTTATTTATAATAGCCGATGATAAATGGTGTATATATTGCAATCAATGCAATGTGGTTATTAAACAGTTCAGGTAAATATTTTATTAAAAAGTAATTAATCTGCACAATCGACGTTAAACGAATTTTTAATCCATAATATCTTAGATATTATTGTACTTATTGTGAGTCACCATCAGAGGGTAACGATTATAGGAGTTTTGAGCTCTGTGTGTGGTAAGAACCTTCAGATTAGTTAAAGTTAACTAAGTTAAGTTACAATTATTCATTCGAATTTCTTTATTAAATTAGGTGTTTTGCACATCAATTTCCAAATTATCACGAACATCCTCGTTGTTCTTTTGCCGTTCAAACTGTAATCGATGATGAAGCAATTAAAATGTCTTCCAAAGGCGAAGTTGTCAAAATTTTTGACAAAGACATTTTTGATACAACATTTAAAGATCCCGAATTTGATTTAACGAGTAATCATGTACCATTGGATACGGACATGGGATATCTTTATCTACAAGCATGGAATATGCGTAAAATATGTGGTTTTTGCAATGACGATGACTCAAATCAACTTGGTGGATTCATCGCTCCATATCCTTTTGTTTCTAACACCTATACACGTCACGGTGAAAAGCAGAAGACTTTTTGGGCTCATCATGCATGTGCGAAATATTCACCAGAAGTTTTTGTTACAAAATCTAATGAATGGTATAACGTAACATTGGCTTGGAAAAGGGGTCGAAGCATGGTACAAATGCATATTTATATACTTATAACACTTATATTTCCGAATTCTCCTCATAATTTATTATGATATATTCTTAGAAATGTGGTAAATGCAAGGAACGTGGTGCAACGATCGGATGTTTCGAACCTAAATGTGCAAAAAGTTATCATCTTTCATGCACGGATAAACCGCTTTCCCATTTTGAAATGGGTGTTATTTTCTATTGCCCTACACATGAAGCGCGTTATCTTCAAAAAGGTAAGTTAAAAAAATTTTTTTTTTATTCGTGGGTTTATTAAAATATTATTGACTTTCATATCCATCATCTTTAGAATTATACAATGAGGTTTACCGTTGTGATGTATGTTCATGTGAATTACAAGAAGACAGATGGATGACTTGCAAGCCATGCGAGTCGAACTTTTTCTCATCTTTTGATTTGTGTTTACAAGTAATTAAATTCATTTATCATTAATGCACTTATTTTTAAATCTAAAGTATATAAACATTAAAATTGCAACCATAATTCAAATGTATCTAGTGCTTTGAAGAAAAGTATCCTGAACATGAACACGATAAAGATGAATTTGAAGAAACATGTACGTATTTATATTATTATATAGTTAGTTTCGACGAATCTAACATATATTACTTTTTAACAGCTGTTAAGAAAATTAAAGACGCTCAAATCACGAAACAAGCAGCACTTGCTGTTGCAAATCAAAAGGCTCATAGCGCAGGTAAATTATTAAATCCATTACAATGATAATTTTGAATTTGATGTGTATTAAAAATTATTGAAATATACTATTAGGAATGCGAAAGAAATCTAGAAATTCGCAACAAAATAAAGGAGGGCGAATTCAATGTTCATATTGTTGGGCGGAAGAGTCGCCTCGTTGGAGGAAAGGTAAAATCACATTAAGTATCTGATATTTCATAATATTTTTATATATATTGAACTTTTTATGAACATAATAGGTTATAATGGCGTGCTTATGTGTGAGGATTGTTTTGAATTAGTTTTGGTTAATAATAATACTGCAGGAGAACATCAAGAGAAAGATAAATTATTAGTTACCAGCGAAGATTATTCATACCAACCGTATTTGACGAGAAACTTCTGTTCGGACAAAAAATTTGATGACTTCGAATCTCAAGCAATGCATTTAGATAGCTATGAACCCGCAGAGAATCAATTATTTTCTTTGCCTTTTGATAGCTCTTATTTTGATATTCCGGGTCGTGCTCCAAGGTGTAAGTACTTTTAAATGCAAGAAAATTATAATCACGAAGCTTTTTTTATTGTCTGTATTAATTATCATGTCAACTTTAATCGGAATTAGGGGCTACGCATAGTGGTACCGATTATCATGGCACTTGGCTACCACAAACTGTTCGAAGGTAAGTTGCTATTCGGATTAAGTTAAATATTGAATTAAGATAAACGAGCAATTTTAATTGATATTTCATATTGTCTTAGAGCATTACTTCGTTTTACAAGGAAGAACGGAAAAGTTCTATCAAATTTCCTGGGGAGAGGTTGGCAGTCATTAAATTAACACTTTTTATAAAAATTTGTTTTGATCGTTAATCAATCATTTGTTATAGGAACGGATGCTATTGAATCTTTCCTACTTGGAAGGAGGTAAATATATATGATATAAAAACAATTTTTACTTATGTATATTTTAGATTACTAACATCCTCAATTTATAAAGACTTATTGGCATCGACATCAACCCAGTAAGTTATTATTGCTTAAACTTTTTTAATAATACTGTACCAAAATAAATCATTTCATATATATTTTTCAACACATTAGGCAGCAGTTGCTTTGTCCCAGCGGAACTGCTCTTTCGCGATACCACCGAATAGGGGTATCACAGCCGAACATCGACCGATAATACTTCAAGCTGATTCTAGAAATTTATCAGGTTCTATGTTTGAAGACGATTCTTTTGATCATATATTGAGTCATCCGCCCTATAAAAATTGGTGAGAAAAAATCAAGCTTGTAAGAATTTATAATTGTTTGTTGCTCTAATTCTCTTGTTTTCAACAGTGTTGAGTATTCAACACATATTGACGGTGACTTGTCAAGATTTGCAAACTCAAAGGAATTTGCTGCAGAAATGAGTAAAGTTATTGATGAATCTTGGAGGTAAATATATGAATCCATTGAAATTTTTTTTTGATTAATTATTTGATTGAATGAAATTATTATTTAAGGTTATTGAAGCCCGAAAGAAGAGTTACTTTAGGAATTGGTGATAATCGAGAACATTGTTTTTATGTCCCAGTTAGCTTTAATTTATTTCGTCAGTATATCGATCAGGGATTTGAATTAGAAGAGCTGGTAATTTTATTTTCTCGCAACTTTTTTACGTCATTTTAATACTTTAAAAAGTCCCTTCATTCATTCACCATTATCATTTACTATCTACAAGGTTGCAAAACGTCAGAGATATTGCCAAGCATTTGGGCTTGGCACATATCTTTGTGTACAATATGATTTTCTAATGTTTACACACGAGTTTATTGCAACTTTTAAGAAGGTTGACAAAACACATAATGATAGGTTGTTAGTGACACCTGGTATGATTTGATTGAATGTTTCATTATGTTTTAAATTTTCATATGTATGCTTTAACATAAATAATTTATTTCGAAAATTTCAGATGAATCTACATTATCGGGCTCAGTGACGTTTTTAAGGAATCTTCGAGAAATCCCAATTCTTCCTATTGCACGAAAAAGTGTCGTAATGGGTACAACTTGGACATTTAAGCCAACACAAACACATAATTTTGTACAACTTTGTACCTCAAGAATGGTATGTAAAAAATCTTAATTTAATTTTACATTACTTTCGTTAAATATGATTAACGATTAACTCTATATAGGTTGAACGGTTTGGTAGAGATTTTGCCAATTGGGAAGAAATTCGGATAAAATTTAACAATATGGAGGTAGTGTAAAAGTTTTTAGGATATTCATATACTTAAAAGAAATGTAAGATATTTAAATAATATATATATATTTTTTTTTTAATTAGCCAAATAATACAGTTAATTTAAGTGATAAATTACATAAATGTGAAGGTAATTTTCTTTCTTTTATTCTAATTAAAATTTTTTATCTGAGGTTAATGTATCATTATTTGGTCTCTAGACAAAACTGATAGTGAGGAAGAAAACATGCCAGAATATGAGCGCATTAGACAAAAAAGGATTAAAGAAAATCAGAAAATGTTGCTTTCATTGGTAAATAGTTAAAAATTTATTTGTACATTGATAAAAATAATCGTTTAGAAAGAGAGAGAGAAAGAGAGAGATTAATAATACATTTTATTTATTGAAACTTTAATAGGGTTTAAAATGTGATCTCGGAGAAACATCAGATGATATTTCTCATCTTGAAAAAATATTAAATAGTATGCCTTTACCTCCGCCAACGCCAACGGCATTAATTGTTGTACCACATATTCCCAACAATCTTCTTACCTCACAAATTATACCGACTTATCGTACAGCAGTTAAGCATTTAGCAAAAGAAGCATATGAAAAGTTACCGCCATCAGGATTTTTTGTTATTGGAGGACAAGACGTTAGAACTTCAGATAATAAATTATGGCCACTTAGCATGCTCTTTATGGAAGATGTAAATCATTCCGTTGGGGAAGATAAAATGCCATTAAAAGAACTTGTGGTAACAGTACCTGAAGGTTACGCTAAAGATAAGAAAAGAATCACAAAAAAAGATGATTACACAGAAGAATATTGTATAGTTGATGAAGAAGAAAATATAGAACATTTACCAATTATTCATGTAAGTGACAAACTTTTTTTTTTCCTCGTTTAATTTATAATTTACTCACATCTACGTATTTTTATATTTAGGCATGTTATCTTATATTTATGAAACTTCGATAAGGATAGATTACATTGCATTTGATAGAATAGATTTAGTTATAATATGGTTTTGCAAAGCGACAATAGAAAAAGTATATTTATGTTGGAATCTGTTGTTGATGTGATCAATTTACGATCACGTGTTAAATATAGCATTTTATGATTTTTAATAAATAATAATTAGTAATATTAATTTTTTCAGGAAATATTTCCCGATTTTAAATAATATATAATAAAACTTGTGGCTTTCTCTAGCCCAAATAATAATTACACCAGCTACATAAATTGTTTGACTCGGTTTATCGATCATAATTCTAAATATAACCAGGGACGATGATTTTCTGCGGTGATTAAGGATGAATTCTGCGTGTGATAAAAGTTAATTCTGTGATTTGGCCAGAATTATGCAAGATCAGCCAACATTACGATTCGCAAATTCTGGCCAAACTTAATATCAGCCAGCATTATGATGATAAATCGGACCAAAATTTTGAAATTATCATTCATATTTTGTGATTTCCTGTGAAATTCTGTGAAATACAGAAAAACATCATCCCTGAATATAACTAGTAAAAAATTTTCTCTTATGATTGGTCGATTCAACAAAATAATCTGAAAAAAATAGCAATTATAATTTTTATCAGTTTAATTAATTCTCTTAAATGCATACATTATATAACCCTGTTTAAATTTCTTAAATGGTTAATTATTAAATCAATTAGCAGTCAGTTAAACTGATTCACGAAAATAGGTACAACATAATTTGATCAAGTTATACAAATTATACTCAATTGTAATTATGATTTGATTTGTTACTTTTTTTAAAATTTTTACTATGATCTCAAAGGAATAGAATTAACTAGTAAATTAATTTTAAAAAATGGCTTTCTACACAATAATTTAGAATTTGCAAGGAAAATATATGAAAGGGCAAAAAAGACTAAGAGAAATGGGAGAAAGGATTGATGATTTAAAAGAAAAGGAAGTTGTAAAAAAGGATATTAGAAAGAATTATTTACTTAAAAATCCTCTACATAATATAGCATCATATAATAAAAATCTTAATAAATATATTCTTTTAGATAATAAATGAAATGTATTAAAGAAATATAAGAATATTTACAGATTTATAAATTTTTAATTTATATTTACAGTCACTAGTAAAAGTAATGATACTATAAGTACTGATTGTTTTTAAGTCGTAGCATGCTCATTTTTTTATTTCAGAATTTTTTAGTATTTTTAAAATGTTCTTTATAAATAACATTTAATAAACAAATAAAAAATTTGTAGAAAAAAATGAATTTCTTTTTTTATTTGAAATGATATTAACCACTTTTGAAAGAAATCAAAATGCTGTTAATCTTCTTTAGCAACAAAATATCTGAATATAAAAAAAACTTTATAAAGAACAGATATTTTTTTTATATTTTTGTTATTGTTATGTTAGTTTATTATAAAATTTAGTAAGATTACTATAGATTATCAGTTTAATTGATCATAAAAATTGACTCCTAAAAAATGCTATTAAATTAGAATAATTGTTAAATATAATTATTTTACTACAGTAAGTAAAATAAAAGTCTAACTTAAAGTAATAAATCTAAAAATTGAAGTTAGTAAATAAATCATTTATTATAAGCTAAAAAATCTTGATTTTATATTTAAAACATACTTTTCATGATGTTTAAGGTAATTTAAAAATTTAACTTTTAGGTCAGATTTTTTTTAGCCTTCTTATAGCTCTGATCTTAATCTTATTGAGAATGTTTAGATTATTTTAAAGAAAAATATTAAGAAAGAGGTTATAAGAATAGTAATATAAAGAAAAAATTTTAAAAAAAAATTTTAAGTTTGTTAGAAAGAAATAGGATGATATTGAAACATTATAATAATTAACTGCTATGATTAAATGATCAAAATATAACTAATCTACATGACGTGATCTAAGTGATAATATAATTAATATAATCAATATGATTAATATATCAGATATATTTAACATATTTTATATATTTAAAATAGTTAATACAATCAACTCTTAATATAACGAATTCTTGATATAATGAATTTTTTGAACAAATATAATAAAAATACTCTTGTTATAACAAATTGGCTAATCAAATCTCTTAAAATCTTTACTATAGTCTTATAGTAAAATTGAGGTTTAGGACATAGAGTTCATTATAATAAGAGTTGATTATATAGTTAATTTAATTAAGATAGTTAAGATAGTTAAAATTGTTAAAATTATTAAAAAAGCTGAAATAGTTAATATATTATTCTATGTATTTGGAATTATATATATAGAATCCAGTTATTTAAACTTTTTAGGTAGATTCAGATTTAATTATATTTAGAAGAATTTCTCTTAATAGTTCGTATATACTTAAGCTATTAAGTAATACTTAGTTTCATTTATTACATTTTACCTTTTGTTAAATTATTTCTTTATTTCTTTATTTATTATTTCTTATTTTTTTTCTTACATTTTCTTATATTTTTTCAATAAACTATTTTTATTATAAACTATCAATTGTGTAACTCTTTAATAATAAGTATTTATATGTAAATATTCATACTTAGTATAAATATTATTTAGTATAATTATGTATTTTACTACATAGATTTAAAAAGAAACAACTTTTGACACACTGTCTAACTATTACAATTCACAATAATTACACATTAATACTATTTTAATAATATGTTAAATCACATTAAAGTATATATTAATATATAGAAGAGGAACGGAAAAACTCTATTATATATCTTTGCCATAATAATATTCAATTAATATTATAAAAATTAAAAAATGTGATAGTTTATTATAGATTTGAATTTATATGGAATGTATATAGTCATCAGTTTTATCAGATTCACAGAAAATTTGGTTATCGCTTATGAATAAATTTGTCTATATAAGTTATATAAAAAGTTACTATATATAGTTTGATTCACTGAATTATAAATTTTTAATTATCATGTAATATCTATATTTATAATATAAAAAATTTTCTGATAATCTTTTTTTAATATAAAAAGTTTATCGCTGATAAAAAAATGTTATTTTCTTATGATTCATGTCAAAGTTGATTTACCTCTTTTTCAAACTTTCAGGAATTTATTGATACTAAAAAGTTCTTTGTAAATGCAATAAAATTATTTCACTTGGTATTACTTATCAACTTTTTAATTTTCAAAGACATTCACAAAATAATAATTGTACATATCATACTGATAAATAATTAAGTATAAATGTATTTTTTTTGAAAAATAAATCAGAGGAAAATGATATTAATAATGAAAAAAATGATAAAAATAGAAAAAGATGTATTTTTATGTGTCAAGATCTCTGTGATTTAGACTATATTAATTATATTATAAATAGTCCTACTAGCTTTAGGGGTGATAAAAGACCTGAAGTTGTAGCAAAACAACTTTTTTTCAGAAAAATTTTTAGAAAATACTTCTTTTACTAGGAAAAAACTTAATAAAAAAGAAAGAAAAAATTTGAAAAGACTTTAAAATCTGAAGCAACTTAACAGATAAAGAAGATTTAGCAATATATCATACGTAATGTGAAAAAAAATATATAATAAAAGTAAAATATGTAATAAGTATGAAGAATTAAAATCCAATAAACATTTAAAATATAAAAAATAAATCAAAAATAAAATTAACATTAAATATATTATTAAAACTTACAGATTTAAAAAAATTTATTAAGGGGTAGGCAATTCATAATATTATTAAATTTACTCCTCATCATTATTATAATAAACTATTATTAAAACTTCTTAAAAATACAAACTTGTGACAAATTTAGGCTATTACAAGTAATAAAAATAATGATGCAGAATTTTGGACTAAATTAACTCAAATAGGTTTAAGTAATACATTTAATAGAAATGGTACTTTTACTGATCTTGTATCTTTAATGATACAAGTTAAAGAAAAAAATTATAAAGTAAAAGTTTAAACAGACTTCAATATTTTGAAAATTTAATGCATTTTTTTAGTTTGTTATCTGAGAGCAACTGGGAGTATGAAATTTTTAAAAAGGTTTTTGTTAGACTTTCAATTTAAAAAATTTGGTAGTTATTATTTTCTTTTATTCAATACTTTAATAAAAAAACATATTATTAATTATTTACTTTACAAAAATAGACAAATTCATAAGAGAGATTCATTATAATCACTAATCCTGATTTGATAATAGAAAACTTTATAAAATTTTCACAGATTATATCAAGTATTAATTGAAATAGTCCAATTATAATTATGACAGATTGTACTAAATTATGAGAAAAACTCGTATATGCTGAAGAACTTAACTATATTACTGAATCAATTTTATCATATTCAGAAACAATTATTGAAATACTTGAAGATATACATCTTAAAATCAATTATATTTTAGAAAGAAATGCAATTATTACACAAATTTGCAATATAGCATTAAAGGTAATTAATTTTTAAATTTGTATAATAATTAATAATAAGTTTAATTAATTATATCATTTATATTTAGGTTTCTATTGAAAAAGTTTCGCTAATGATAATAGCAATGATTCTTACTAAAATAATAAAAGAACTAAACATATTGCACATTTAATACGTAAAGTAATTGAAATAGCATATAAAGCAAATTTGAATATTTTAAGTTTTGAAGCTGATGGTATCAGATTTGAGTTTAATACACAGTCCATTATTATGAATAAAATGTCAAATTTCCTTGAATATAAAGATTCTTTCTATAAAATTCACTTTAAGGTATCAATATATAATGATAAACCATTTATTAGAATCCAAGATCCAAAATATGCAAAGAAAACAACTAGAAATCAAATATTTTTAAGAGCAAAGCTTTTATCACTTGGAATTAATACTATACACTATGATTAACTTTTTGAATTAGCTCATAAATCTTAACATTTTCTTTTAAAACGAAATGTTTTTAATGTTAATAAATAAGATTATAGAGCTGTATTATGTATTTTTCATTTAAATAATTTAATGTTTATTCCAGTTAATAATACTTTAACTGATGAAACAATTAGACTTTTGTGTATTTATTTGTATTAGATAATTATTTAAATTATTTTTGATTTAATTTTTACTTAATATATTAATATATTTTATTTTTAGGAGAATTATGTGATGCTTATTTAAATAGGACAGTCAATTATAAAACACATATTGAAATGAAATTACATGCTTATTTTTTTTTAAAAATATATGAAAAAAATATATTGAAGATTGTAGCATATAATATTTAACAAAATGGTATAATTTATAAAAGAATTTTATTTCAATTTAAAGTTATAATATTTTTATTAATATAGTAGAATTTTTAATTATGCTTATAATAGCATATTATGAATACTATTTATAGTTTTCTTTATTTTCATAGAAATATAGAACTGAAGCTTTAGAATATATATTTGGAATTTCATGAAAAATATTTTCTGATTTTAATTTTTATGAGTTTTTTAAAATATAATAAAGAATTTTATATTGTGATAAAATTTCACAAGCAGGAATAATTGATATTAGTAGAAATTGAAATTCTGCAATAGGTATTTATAATTTATTTTTTGTTTAATTTTTAAATATTAAAAATTTAAAATAATTTTTATTTTTTAGGATATATTTTTGATATAGATAATATATCACTTTTATATAAAATAATTGAAAAACTTTGTACATAGCCTACTAATGATAATATATAAGAATGCACTAAGGTCACGTATGATAAAGCTACATTATTAGCAAAATATATTCATATAAATAGTCATGAAAAATTTTCAGTTCTAGAATTTACTGCATATATGAAAAGAATAACAGATGTTGACAATATTGAAGATAAATTAAATGGTAATTAATTAATTAATATTATGTATATATAATTAGCTAATTAGTTATTAATTAATTATTTATTATTATATATAATTGATGAATAATACTTCTAGTAATGAAATTGGTTTAAATTGTTTAATTACAGTTAGTAATGCAGTTCTAGAAATAGTACATATATTATCAAATTTATAAAATGAAAATAATCAATTATATGAAGAGAAAAATTTGGATGATGATAAAGATAAAGAAGAAACAATACAATAATTATCATCAGTTAGAGAATTTCCTGATATTCAATATATCATTTGGCATTCTCAATCTACTTCTATTATTTTTCATTCATTTCAACAATTTTTTACAAATGATATTTTAAATTAAGACTTTTTTATAAATTCGTCAAAATCATGATGCATTTTCATGTAATTTAAGATCTAATTTCAATAATTTACATCAAATTACAATTAAAGATAATAATAAAATTAGTGGAAATATTATTAATAAACTTATTATTAAAATAATAACAGATAATAATAAAAATCAAAAAAGAAGACGTCAAAATTAATAAAAAGGAAGAAAAAGATTAGAAATATTACCAAACAATATTTTAGGTAAATATTTATGTTACAATTTTTATTACATAAAAATATATTTTTATTGATAATTATTATTAATTAAATTTTTAGTAACAAACCTTGGATTAGCAAATATTTTTGACCTTTATCCTTTATATAAAGATGGATTTTTAATAGTTTATTCTAATAGAATTTTATATTTGAAAAGTTATTGCAATGTATGAAAAATGTGAACAATGACATGCATGAATTGAAAAACCAGTTGGATTTTTAGATAACTTATTATATATTTCTATTGAAGTTTATACACAAATATCATATCACTTTTTTTCTTGTAAAAATTCAGTAAGAGAAAATATTACAATACATATTATTTTACGTAAAATAGTTTATTTTTTTGGAATTCATTTATATAATGTAAATGGTAATTTAGTTTTAGTAGATGATGAAATTATTTCAATTTTTAATTATTTTAATATGCCTTCATCACGTAAATTCCTTTTAAAAATTTTTAATTAATAACTAGTGAATAGTCTATTAACAAACAAATAGGACTTTTAGTAGTTAGCTGCTATTATAAATATATTACACTATATTAAAATGGAGATTTTAATATATTTGATATAAGGGATTAGGTTTTTGTAGTATTAGAAAGTATGATAATAGTAGTTTTAGATAGAAATATATACTATATAATAAAAAATTTTTGATTAACAGATGCATTAATATATTATATAAAAAAACTCAGAAGAAATTTATCATATAAATCTTTATCATATACATTAATGTCATTATTATAATGATAATAAATTTATATATATAAAAATTTTCAGATAATTTTTTTTATTTTAAAATTTTAAAATTCTTTACTAATCAAAACATTTTTACATCTTATTAAGAAATTATAGAATTAACAGATCAGAAAATTTTAATTACTACATAATATAAAATAAGGAATAGATATAATTATGATCATGAAAAAAGAGTGAAATCCTATTTTTAAAAAATCAAAAATATATATTAAATTTTTGTAAATTTATTTATTAAGCAAAATATATTGTTATTTATAATAATGATCATACATTATAATTAAAAATTAATTATAATTGATCGTTAGAATCATCATTAATTTCTTTGATTTTTTAACTAATCTTTAAAACTAATTTCAGAATGTTACAAATCATAATGATACATATAATTATGTAACAATTTAATGTATTACACATAATTTATCATAAAAGATCTATTATTTTATGATATTTTTAGAGAATCTGCACTTTCATTCTAATATCTTTGCATTATATTTTTTATTATATAGTATATATGTAAATTAATTTGTTTAATAAAGTGTCTGACTAATTAATAATTCACTTTATTATTTAATTTAAAAATGTGTTCGTAAATCTGATTTGCTTAATTATAAATAAACCTAATTCACAGAAATAAGGTCAGATGCTTACTTTAGCGAAAATATATAATAGAGTTTTTTTGGTCCTTATAGAAGGCTATATCAAATATTAATTAACTAATAAATATATATAATTTTAACCTGTTTATCAGAAAATAAATTTTTGATATTTTATTAAAAATTATGCATATATTATTAAAATTGAGTCTATTACTTTTATTAGTTTCTGCATTTTATATATTCAACAGACTTTTTTATTTAATTTTTTAAAAAAGATTTAGATTATATTATTAGTCAATTATATCTTATACTTTCATATAATATTTTAATTTATAATTATTTAATAAATAAAATTAAAGGTACAATTGATAATAATATTAATAGATTAAAAATTAAACATGTAATTAAACTAGAGATCATTGTTAAGTCTAAAACAATTTTAATTAAAAAAAAATATTGCAAAATCCAATTGATATCAACTTAATTATTAAGTAAATGAATATTTAAAATTCTTGAATTATATTATGTAAAAATATATAATCTTATACTAATACTTTAAACTAATTAAGAAAAGAAAAAAATATTAAAATATTATCTATTAACCTATTAACTAATAGATATAATTATATTATTACTATAGATTAGCAATAAATTTTAATAATATTTTTATTTTTTTATTAATTTTTCTTTTTATGAATTTATATTAAATTTTATTATTAAAAAAGATATTAATATTTAATAAAATTATTAAATATAAATATATTGTTTTATAATATTTATTTAATTAAATTAATGCTAAGCTGATACTAATTTATAATTAAATATATATTCTGAATTGATATTGAATTAAGATCAATTTTATGCTAATTTAAAATTCTATATTAATGTTAAATTGATTTGTTTAATTAGAGTCAATTAAAGTTAATTAGATTATTCAGAAAATATATAATTAAATCATAAATAATATTAAAATTAATCTAAATTCTATCATTTAATTTTTAGTCAATTTGGATTATTTTAATTAGTATATAATATATAATATAATATGTAATTTAATATATATAAATGCTTTACAATAAAAACCTAAAATAATTTTTTTACTTTATAGTTAAATATTTTTTAAAATTTTCTCATTTTTTTAATGCAAAATAAATATATATAATAAAACATATTTATATATAATATTTAAAATAATATTTAAATTTTATCAATAAAAATACTTAAATAAGATATTTTATTACCAAACATAATAGCCAAATCATTTTTTTTTAATAATTATACTTAATATTAAACTGTTTTCAGATTGATAATAATTTTTTATATAGATATTTTAGTCTAAGTTATATTATTTAAAATCTATCTAATTTTTTATATATGTTTTTTTTTATAAAATAAAATGATTAAGAAAATATCACTTTTGAAAATAAATAGTGATATATTATAGCTAAATTTAAATAATAATTAACTTTGCTTAACTTTATTTTAAAAAATTTTAGATATTATTAATAATTTTTATTAAAATATATATTAATAAATACATATAAAGAATAAAAAAAAATTTTAATTGTAATAAATTAATGCTTATTTTATTATATGAAAAAATTGTAAAGAAAATCAAAATTTAAGATTTTTGCAATAAAAATCTCAATTTTGTTAAACAATTCTTAGAATCTGATTTTTTTATAATAAAATTTTGACTTAAATTCATAATATATAAGTTTATGATTACTTTTTATTCTAATTAATTTTTAAAATTTATATAAATTTAATATTTAAAATAATAAATTAAGATATGTAATCTATTATTTATCAAGTTTATTAATTTAATTATATTATGTTTTAGGATTTATCATTACCAAGAATCCAATTAAGTCTTCATAATAGAAATAAACTTTCTCATTAATTTTATAAAACTAATTTCAAAGATTTATATTCTTGTGTTCTAATTTTTTTTTTTTATTAAAGCAAATTAGATATTTTGATGTAAACCAAATTTGCATAAACAAATATTTATACAGTGAATGATTTATATTTATATATCACTTTTTTTTTAATCAAAAAAATTTCGATTCCTTTAATAAACATAAAAATAAGCAAGAAATTTATTTTATATATAAAAGTTATATTAAATGATTGATTGTACTTTATATAAAAAAGGAATTACATGCATTTATGTACATTTGGTATATAAGATTTCCAAATTAGAATTAGAAGAAAGTTTTTGAAGAAATATATCAGTTCTACCAAAACACATTCTAACATCAATTCTTCTGCAAAAGAAAAAAAAAAAAAAAAAAAAAAAAAAAATATTAAATTTATCTTGTCTTTTTTTTTAAAAAAAAAAAGATTTGATTATTAATTAATACCAAATTTTTAAAATACCTTAAATCCGGGAGATTGTCAATAATATCAATAGCCAATTGATCAACCCAGCCAACGTCAATTTCACCATCATCAAAATCTGTTATTTCTTCACCGTAAACAACAAAATGTTCTAATCTCATACCCTGCATACCTAAATACATTAATCGTATACAATTTTTAACAATTTGCGAAATAAATGGAGCTCTAATGTGTACGCACTGTCCAAGGTCAAGATAAATTAATTCCATTAAATTACTTGATGCTAGTAATCTAGCAAATCCATTTGTTAATAATCTACATCCGTAAACATTTAATATTCGCAATTTACTAATACCTTGAGTATAAATAAAAGGAGTTAATTTTGGATCCGTAATTTCTAATCGGTCTTCTTCTGACATTAATGTTAAATCAAGGTGATCTATATATGATGCATAATTTTTCCTTTCCTTTAAAGTGTTTGAACATTTTTCAAATGATTTTATATTTGTGAATATTGGTTTTTTGTATAATTCAACAACTACTATATTGTAAAACTGTTTGTTCAATAAAATCATTGAATATAAGTCTTTTTGATCTAATCGATCCAAAATATTATTTAATATAGGTTCAAAACAAATGTTTGGAGATATATTTGTCATCATTTCTTATTAAGAGATAATTTTTTTTTTTTAAAAAAAAAAAAGCTCCTAATCTGTTTGATTCCTTATTTATGTGCTTTTGTTTCCATTCCAAAGAAATTTTTTAAAAAATTAATTTATAAGAATTATATACACGTGAACATAAATTATTTATTTAAAGAATTTAAAGCAATCGTCAATCGTTAAACTCCGTAAAAGAAATGACATCATTTCAACTTTGTGATCGACTTGAATGTGAAAGGATGATTTTATCCCTTAAGGGAGAATCAATAATTTAAACAAAGAACCATTCAATTCTGTTTTCCAATAATGCAGATGGTAATGGATTATTGGATTAATTTATTTTTATTATTACTATTATTATTTTCATCCCTGACTAAGAACGGTATATGGAAGAAACTTTTTTTTTTATAGACTTTGCACACATTATAATCTATTAACGGAAAAGATGCGCAATACTAATGTATAAATATTACTATGAAATACTTCGTCCTTAAAAAATAAATAATATAATTATGGTTCGATAAGTTTTTCGGTCTTTATTAATCTTTTTAAAAGTAAAAACAAAAAAAAAAATTTTCAACAGGAAAAGTAACCAAACAAGACTATACATTTCATACATTGTTATTTTTGTAAATTATTGCGGTTGTTCCTATTAATATTTAACAGAATGAATCAATCAAATGTTTTAAAAAAAATTTATTTTACTCAACCATTGTTTTTAATCTTACCTGTGTGATGAAATTAAGTGCATCATCTTTGCTTATAGCACTAATACGTGACACTTTATTTGAAAATGTCACTCCGTAAAATTTATCGGCATTAGCCAACATTTCCGGTCTAAAGGTAGTTGTAATGAATTGTCCATTCTCACACAATTCATGTATCATAGCTTTTTTTAAATAAAGTTAAAAATAAATATCAGTAAGAAATATATGTAATTTAATGGAAAGAAAGCATTCAATACAATACTAATAGTAAATTTCTTAATTACATGCAACAGCAGTACGATATTGTGCATCAAGAGCAGCATCAATTTCATCGAATAAATAAAAGGGGGCTGGGTCACATTGTTGAATTGCAAATATTAGTGTAAGAGCAACTAACGACTTTTGACCTCCCGATAATTGTTGCATACGTAACCCTTCATCAGTTTTACTATTAAACGAGACCTATAAACGAATAATGTGTGAATTATCAATTATTATTAAAAAAAATGAAAAAAGTTTCATACCTTAATTGCAACACCTGTATAGCTATCTACCACAGACCCTTCGTTATCGTTGTCATCATCCTCTTCTTCCGAATCCTGATGAGTATCTTATCTATTAAATAACAACATAATACAAAAGTTTGAAAATGTAAAATAAAAAAATAGATACCCTATCAATTCTTCTTTGCATAATTAATTGTCCACGCCCGGCGGATACTAATTTCTCAAAAACTTCGGAAAAGTATTTCGCCACCTGTTTAAAAGTACGTTCAATCGCCTCATCTTTTCGTTGATCCAATACGGTAATCAATTCATTAATTGCCTTTAAAATTTTCAAAAATTATTCATTACAATCAATAATAAAATATAAACTTGCATTTCCGATTATTATTTACCCTCTTGGATTGATCCAATTCGTCCTTCCTCCTAGAGAGAGTATCTCTCTGTTTGGTGAAACTGTTGTATTGTTCAAACGCCTTTTTATTAACGTGACTGTATTTCTTTAGCTCTTCGTTAACTTTATGCAACATTTTCAATAACTATAAAGAAAGAAAAGAAATCCAACGTATAAATAAATTAAAGTTTTTTTACATATATAAAATTATAATAAAAAGTTTCAAACCTTGGTGGGATCAGTGTTCTCGTATTTTTTGAACGCTTCGTCTGGTAATGCACCAAGTTCCCGAATATTCTTTGTACACTCTTCCTTCTTTTGTAATATTAATTTTCTTTTCGAAAGGAATTTGTCAACATTCTTTTGTTGTCGTTCAAGTTTTTGCTGACGTTCAATTTGTTCAGTCTAAAAAATAAAAGAAAGATTTTTAATACCTATTAAATGATATATTCTTCAAATAGACATAAATTAATTATACTTTTAATTTTTCTAACTCGGAACTCTTTTCACTTTGGAAAGCGGAAGATTCCTGTAGTTCCTTCTCAATTTCTGTAATAAACAATATTTTGTTAAAAAAGCAAATGATTTATTTGTCTTAATTATAATAATATTACCAACCCTCGGCTCGTTCCGACATATCTTGAATTAGTTTTTCTAATTCGTTTTTAGTGCTGTGTATTTGATCGTCATCAATGGTGGTCAAACTCTCAACTTGAATCAAGAGTTCTTCACGCCGTCTTTTCAAATTTGCATTCAGCTCATTTTCCAACACGTTTTTACTTGCCTCAAGCTACATATTGTTTTAGAAGTATAATTAAATAGTCATTGAATACATTATGAACAAATCTTTACTATTTAATTTTACAAACCTCAGATCTTGAAGTAGAAAAGCGTGATAACCGTTCCCGCATTTGTTCTATATTTGTATTTAGCTCTTCGAGTTTCCGTTGTTCTTGTGGAGTTAAGGTCTGGGTAAGTTCCGTGCTCATTTCTATCTGATGCGCTTCCTTCTGTGTTTTGAGCATCTTGATATTACTATAAAGATTTAAAAGAGACCTTTCCTTTTGAAAAGAGAATTAAGGATAAAAATTAATTAAATCGTAAAATGAATATTGTTTTTTTATGCGATATAAATAAATACTTTTCCAGCCTTAGACTCTTTCAAATTTGCTTCCTCTTTCGTTTTTGAATTGAGATCGAACAAAAGAGGATCCCTACTATCCTGAGCTTGTCGGCGCCTGGCTTCAATGAGTTGCATTTGACTCAATATTTGAGTAATCTGTTGATCTAGATGTATTTGGTTTCAATGAAATACTTAAAGATGTAATAGGCAAAATTTAAATGAAACTTTCTATATAAACTATTAAAGGATATGAGTTATCTCGTTCTTCACATATTTTGCACGATTATCAAGCTCTTGATATTCTTTTCTCCATCTTTTCAAATTTGTAGCGGCTTCCAAACGTCTGCGACGAACATCAAGATAACCACCAGTAAGAGCTCCCTTCCGGTCTACACGATCGCCTAGATATTATAAAATTAATTTCATTGGATGATAAAATTAAATATTCTGATCTAAAAAAAAAAATGATATATAAACAAACCATCTAGCGTAATTCCATCCAGATCATGAGATTTTGCTAAAGTCGCCGCGACACTTAAGTCCACACATATTACTGACCGGCCAAATACCTATCCGCAAGAAATTTAATATTTATGAATAAGTTGAAAGCATCAATGCCATGACGATAATGCATTATCAACTACCTGCTCGACTGCTTTCACATATGTCTGATCAAATTTGAGGACTTCCATCATAGGTATCATTTTATCGTTGTGTTCCGGGTATTTTAAAGATTTCATTCTCAAACGGTTTAAAGGCATAAATGTGACGCGCCCATTCTTTTCGCGACTTAATGGCTCTAAAATCTTAGTTGCGGTTTCATCTGTGTTCACAACTACATGAAATAAACTTATATCCATATTATAATTTAAGTAAATAAATAATTATATATATGTGTGTGTGATTTTAAGAAAATCTTAAAAACCTTTGTCCAGCTGTGACTTCTACCGCCGTCCACTTGTTTGGATCTGTACATTCAATCAATTCATAAAGCGGTCCAAACACGCCTTCTATATTATATTGTTCAACTATTCGTCTTACAGCACTCAAACCATTGTTTGTTTTCTTTAAAAGGGTAAAAAATAAATCAAAAAAAAAACATTTCATAATTATTACTTTTAT